TGGAAATAGCCATGCCTTTTCTTTCTCACAGACAGTGCTGCAATCATGTGAAAATCAATCAGAACATGAGAAAAAAGCAAAGGATCTTTTGATCCAGTAGCATCAAAAAATGGGGGCAAGTGCTGGGAGAACATCTCCTGAGCCCTCAGAGCAGCCTCTGAAGGGGAGAGTGGGGTACTTTACTCCTGAGAGCAATTTTGCCTTATGGACTCACATCACAAAACCATTATTTTGCTCCCAGTGAAAGAATCAGAGCAGGTGTGGGAAGCCATAAAATGCCTTTATTTGGGGAAACACAAAGTGGTTTATCTGCAAGTACAACGGGAGGAGCACCCTGTGGCTCTCAGAAGGGTGTATTTGTACACAGAAATGAGAGCTGGGATTGGCAGCTGGGCATTGAAAACAGAAAACTGATGCTGGGAGCTGCCAGACCCAGCCCAAACCCAGGAATGACATCCAGAGGGTGCAAGTGAATCCACACCCCATCACTCTGGGACAGTAGGGTTTGAGCAAGGGGTTAAAATGCCAAGGGTTTTGATTTCATTTCTGTGAGATAGGGCTGGTGCCTTTTATTGGGAGTTGTGGGGGTAGAATGTAGTTATGGTGCTTTCAGCTGGGGGTGAGGAGGGTTGTTGGTTTGATTTTTTTAAAGATTTTTAAAACTTTTTTGATATTTATATTCTTGTAACAAACTTTCTCACACACTTTCTGTAAATAACTCCTTGTTTTGCATTCTTTTATAGAAGAAGAAAAATCTGGTAGACTGTTAGTTTGTCCAGTGTCATTGGAGAGGTGGCACTTTCACCCTCCAATCCACTGCCACTTTTAGAAAACTATAAATGTTAGAATCAGATAATAAACATCCCTTTTTCCTTCACCTTGGGAGCAGCAGTGTGCGCTTGTGTTGTTTTGGTGGTTCAGGATGTTACAACAGGGCCATCTCTGGGAGATGAGTTCGATTTTTTTGTTCCAAATTTGAATTTGCTTCTCAAGATGTAATTTACCTCTTCGAGGCCATGGGATTTTTGCAAAAGATACAAGCAAGCTCTATGGAAGCCCATCCAGAAACATCCACTGGGCCCAGAGCAGCAGCTCCCTAAAACCAGCAGATCCATGACAGAGACGGGGTTGCCTCGGGTGTTTAGGTGTCTGCTGATTGTAATGGGCTTATGCAAATGTCATTTGATACAAACTTACATAACTGCTGAGTAGCTATCAATTCATATTTTGACAGAAAGTGCTGGTTTTCCAGTATATTTTATTCTTGGCAAGAAATACAATGGGACATGATTTTCTGCTTGTGCATGCCTCCATCAAAGGTACTTTTGTAAAATGAATGGTAAAGTCCTTTTGACCTATTTCATCACCAATTTAACTCATTGCCAAGAAAGAAAATGCAGCCAAATTGTTCTTGTTTATTTGTGGAGCTGTGATACAAAATGTAGAGGTGGAAAAGCTTTTAAAACTGGGACTGTTTAATGAATGAACTTTCAGTTATTTTCTCTGTGGGCTGCTCACATTCAAGTTAGTAAGAATACAGGAAAATTTTGACTCTTAATGTCTCTATGCTTTTTCTTTTTTTTTCAGTCAGAACTGGCAAGGTTTGTTCTCTCAGGAAAGAGTTTCCAGAAATGGCAAGGTCCAAGCCTGAAAAAACTCTTTCCTGCAGAGCTGCCCTGTCTCCCACACCAATGAACAGCCCAGTGCCTGCAAGGCACTCTTGTCTTCCCCCCGTGAAAAATGGATCTCAAAAGCCATGTCCAGACCCAAAACTGGATGGGAGGCACAGCCTTGCCCTTTCCTGTAGGGAAGGCTTTGAGGAGAAGCTGCCAGGAACACGAGGTGCTGCAGAAGTGCCCTGGGAGGCAGAGGAGAAGGGCTTTGTGTGTGCTGGGAAATGTTTGCCAGGCCAGTCCAGCATCTCTGTGCCAGCACAGGTTGTTTTGTCACTGCCCTGTGCACCTGCAGCATCCACCCTGCCCCTGTTCACCCTGCCAGAGATAAGGCAGGAGGAGCCTTGCCCCTTGTTGGTACCTGGGGCAGGCTGGTGATGCCTACCTTGGGCTGATCTCGCTGCTCTTAGGTAAAAGACACCCTGCAAATCCTGCTCACACTTTTTTTTCCCCCAGTGCAATTATTTCTTACAACTTGGGCAGGGTCAGGTTGGATGGAGCCCTGAGCAGTCTGATGTAGTGGGTGGCATCCTGCCCATAGCAGAGGGTTGGAACTAGAGAGTCTTTAAGGTCCCTTTTGTGTTCTCTGAATAACACTCAAGACAAGCAAAGCTGGATTCATCCATCAGTGCAGGTGGGGACATGTGTATTTTTTTGGAGGCATCAGACAAAAGTTGATTTTATGATGCCAAAGTGAGGGTTATCCAGGTTTTGAGGTGGGTTTTTTTCCATGATTTCCATATAAAAGCAGTTCATTGTGTAGCAGTTTGAAGCAGCAGTTCCTCAGCATGTGCTGGTGTGACCCCTGTGGCTTTAGAGAAGCCATATAGAAAAGCTTTGGTACTGAGGACAGCAACACTAATGGCTGGTGTAGTGACAGCTACAGTGTGTTAAATGTTTGTGTTCCCTGCTGGATATGAAGTATTTTCCTGCTTGTGCAAGAGTCCTACGAAACTGGCTAATTTCTTTAATAATAATTTGTGTATTTTGCTAGATTTGTCCAAGGACTGGGAGAAATTAGTCCAACTCCTCAGTTAGAAGGAAGGAAGGAAGGAATCTTGTCCTCCCTTCCAAGGAGCAGCCAGTGCCTTTCTGACTTTTATGACCCCAGATCAAATGTTTTAAATTTCATTCTGTACACAAAATTGTGGAAATTTTACAGTGTTGGTAGAGCTAAAATTTACATTTTCTCCTGATGAAATGCTTAGGCTAAATGAAATTATTAGTATGTTTGTAGTTTGTATGCATAAATGTGTCTACACAGGGCTTTAATGTTATAGTTACTCTGATTAAACAAAATAACCTAATCAAGTTAGTCACACAGATTTGGGGAACAAAACTAAAATATAAATATGAAAAAAAAAAATTAAATCCAGTTGTGTGAATCACACTGGGTCCTCCCCAAGACAGAGCCACAGGGTTATAAAGGGTCTGATCACTTTATTTTCTTTTTCTGTTCACATTTAACAGCACAGACACAGCTGAGATCTGAAACACCGATGTGACGCCGGGTGTGTGTGTGGTTTGTTTGTACAGACATTTTGTTACTGAGCTCACATCTGCACCCTCTTTCCTTGGTTCCCAAATGTCGTGTTTCCCTGAGTTGCATGAATTCTGCCAGCAGACCTGCTTTGCCAGCCAGTGGGTGAGAGAGCAGCGTGGACAGCCAGGTGCCTGTGGGCAGAGGTGGAGCAGGAGGTGATGCTGCAGTGCCTCAGTGTGGGTGTTTGCACTCCTGGAGTGGGGAGGGGACAGGCTCAGGTGCCACCAAGGAGCAGCAACCAGCCCTGGCCCCAGCAAGGTGAGAGAGAAGACAATGCATATACAGAGGAGGCCAATTTCTCTTGTGAGTTCAACCTGAGCAACTGAAGGTGTAACAGGGGAAGGGGCCCATCGGTGTGAGCGGCGGGTTGGAGGCAGGAGAGTTCTGCTGACACAAAATTCACCAGGGACAATTAAAATCCATCAGGGACAGGGGGCTGTGGGCCAGCTGGGGATGAACACTAGAACCAAAGAAAGCTGCTATCACACATGCATGCTCCAAAGCTCTGTCAGCTCTGTGGGGCACAAAACCCATCTGTTGGTGAGACAATATAAGCCACGTTCATTAGCACAGAAGATGGAACGATTCCTGGTTTGCCTTGAAATGGCACACTTGAGGTATGAAAATCAAATTTAAGGGGTTTATGAATCAAGTATGAGAATGTGTCTGCCTGTGTCCTTTAATGCAGATTTTTCTATTATTTTCTCAGGTCACGGTGGTTAAAAAATGTAAAATGTTCTCAATTCAACACTGCAGCAAACGAGCACAAATGCACACCAGGTGTTACAGGGGGATGTGGCACTGGGACAGCCTTTAAACAGAAACATGGGGGGTTTACAGGCAGGATACCTGTCCTCAGCAAGCTTTGGGGTGCAGTGGGGCACAGTTAGGGACAGGTAGCCACAAACTCGTTACAAATATTGAAACAATTAAAAGCTTCCAAGTTCAAACACATCAAGTCATTCACAGTCAAACTGAACAGAACAAGTACAGATGATTTAGCTAGTAAAAAAAAAAAAAAAGAGACTTTGGTGGGTGATTGCATTCCACATTTTTATAGCATCACTGCAGGCCTGAAGTCAGCACTGTCCTTGTCCCACTGATATATATTTTAAAAAAATATTTCAGTACAGTCAGGTTCTAAGCCACTTCTGTGAAAGCTTTTTTTTTGTTTCCTTTCTACTTGGATGTGACATGGAGGTTACTCATTTTTAGCATGTTTAAAAATTATCCATTTTATATCTCTTTTTTTTTTTTTAAGAAATAATTTTCCTCATTCCAAGAAAAACATGAGCTTACTTAAAAATTGATATTATGAAAAGTGTATCAAATTTCCTGTTTACTACTCCAAAAAGGCAATTCAGTATCCTCTCTCTAGGGTCAGATTAGATGCTAGCAAAATCCTTAGCAAAACTAAAGCTAACTCTGGAAAAATTCAGCTGGAATTGGCGCTGCTGAAGTCGTACAAACTCTCGAGTCAAGTGGGCCACGTTTGCCTGCTCAGGACGGGTCTGGGCTAAAAAGTCAGCATTAAAAAATCAAACGGGCGAAAGCAGCACAAAAATAACACCTGGAGCGTTGCCAAATTCTGTGACCGCCTCTCTCCTCTCAGAGTCCCAAACTTCAGGTTTTTTCCCTCAGATCTTTGCCCGCACGGCGCCTCTCAGCCCATCCGGGTAAGGACCCAAGTGGCGCCTTCAGCCTTGGGATTCCCATTCCTCGCCCTCTTGCCCTCCCGCTCTGGCCTGCTGGGGACTCGGCGGGTGGCAGCGGTGGCACTGGTGTCATGTGGTGCCAGCGGGCTCTGTCCAGCCGCGGGAGCTGCCCTGCTTGCTGCTGGAGAGGCTGTGCTGGGGCAGGGCGCGCAGCCCCAGCAGGCGGCAGGCGGCCGCGCGGTACTTCCTCGACATGATGTTGTACAGGATGGGGTTGATGGCTGCGCTAAGGTAGAAGAGGACAAAGGACACCAGGTTGCAGTACTGGCTGATCACTGCTATCTCCAGGGAGCCGGCTTCGAAGGATTTGGAAAATAAGTAGCGTCCTACGTGAAAAGGCAACCAGCAGAGTATGAACGCAAATACCACCACGACTAAAACAAAAACAGCAGAAGAAAGTGTGTTAAGTGTGAGTATCAACATACAGGTGATTAACATTCTGTTCCTTTAACCAATTAATCACAAAGTGTGAAAATGCCTCCCCTAAGCTTTCACTTGTGTCTCAGTACATTCTCTGAGAGTATGAATTGGTGATACTTAATACACTTGGATCATATCTAAACAGGCTGCCTGAATATTGCCCAACTAATCTGTTGTAGCAAACTTCTGACCTATAAAACCTATGTTTGCATCAACAGACTGTTAAAGAATCCAAATGGTGACAAAATATGACCATCTATCATCTGCAGTGTTTAACAAAAGCAAATTATACATGATAGACTCAACGCTGTGGTTTGTAATGAAGAATGTAATCACTGGGAAGCAAAATTATTTAAGACAAAAAGAAAAATTGTTAAAGGCAAAGGCCCCAGAATAAAACACAGAATGGGAACTTGTAGAGCACATATGCCAAGATAAGAAGAGGAGAGTGGTTCATCCCTCCAGTTTGTCCATTTTTTGGAACATTAATTACTCCCAAGAAGAGTAAAACTAAATGTATAGTATATAACTACATAATTACAGTTATACAGTATATCTGTATTACTGTATTACTAGAGTGGTTGCATTTGCATGTAAATATCATGTCTGTAGAATAATGGGAATGTGTGTGTCTCTGAACACTGGCCCATTGGAATTTTCATCTGAGAGAAAGGGAAACAGTTTCTGTTCATTTCCTGTGTGCCTTTGACCTTTATTATTTTTCATATTGCTCTGAGTGTATCTATTAATATATTACAGAGAGAAAAACCAGAAAACTCGAGCAAGGGTTTCTGACATTCTTAAGCAATTTTTACAGTTAACCTGTTCATGGAATAACAGAATTGTTTGGGTTGGAAAGGAACTTAAAGAAAATTTTTTCCAAGCCCCCTGCTTTAAGCCAAGACACCTTACACGAGAACAGGTTGTTCAAATTCCAGTCCAACCTGGTCCTGGTGGGGAGGCTGTGTTAGCAACCTGCTTGTGTGAGCTATCCTCATATCATGTCTTAGAAGATAATAAAATTCAAATTACTGAGAGGAATGGTTATAGGTATCTTTCCCCAGAAATTCTGCACTAGCATTCCCAAGTTTAAAAGGATGCTTATGCAGGACTTGTGGTGGAGTGGAAAGCACCAGAGCTTGAGGTTCAGAAGAGGTTTTCCAGCTCTGCATCTTCTTGAGCCAACCACTTCCAGTTTTCCCTCACTATCTCCACTACAAAATTAATTTGATTCCCTGGCTCACATGGGGATTTGAATCCATGTAATGAATATTACCATGATGGTCATTATGAATGAGCAGAGTTTAAAGCACAGCCTATTATGACTAGAATTTTAAGCACAGGTAGGCATGCAATATCCCTAGTCAGGCTTTTGACATTTTGATCTTCATGCATGCAGAATCCCATGGATTTCAATAGGAATGGGATGTGATAGCTCCTTTGCAAGTCAGGCTATACATTTAGGTGTTTAATTTCAGTCCCAGAAGCATAACCTGTCTTTACAGTTAAAAGAACTTCTGATGCTAATCCCATTTACTTGATGTTCCATGACTTGATAAAGCCTCAGTAAGCCCCTTCTAAATTTTAAGCAGAACATTAACACCAGTGAGTGTTGACTGCATTGAGAATCTGCTGCCACTGAGCCCTCACCAACTTCTTCCCATCTTTCTGTCAGGCATCAGACTGTTATCATTTAGGGAATATTGGCTCTCTGTCAGAGGAGAGTCTTGCCACTGCCTGGCTGTTCTCAGACCTTGTAAAAGGAAAAAAAAAAAGAGTGCCTGAAATATTGCAATGCTTGTGGCAACACTTCTGAGCAGAAAGAAGCATTTTTTTATTTCAAAATTCTTTACAGTTAAGTATATGGAAATATAAGCAGTAGTAATATAGGTAATTTACTCATAGTCAGTGGAAGTTCATAATCCTGAACCTCTAGAAGTGTGAGCAATTAATTACTTTCAAGGTCACGCTTACCAGACTGAAGTAATTCTATTGATCATAAAACATAGCTGAAAGGGCATAAAGAATGCTGCTGGTTTTATTATTCCTCCTGCTGTTGCATAGTAATAAATTAGGACATGAACAAAAAGAATAGATAGGCTCCTATCTGATAATTAAGGTACTTAGGACTCACTGCCACCTCTTGTCTGCCTCATTAGCCCACCACTTCAACCTTGCTGAAAGGAGCCTGTGAAAGCTTCTTCCTGCAGAGCATCTTGTCCCCCCCAAAATCCACGGGATGACTTGCACTGCAGAGGACTTTTGGCTTGGGTAAAAGTACGCAGCAGCAGCAGCAGCAGCAGGATCCTGCAGTTTTCAGACACTAAACTGCAGGACAACTTTTTGGGGTTGTGTTTCAAACTGCCACTACATGCACTGACTTAGTATGTTAAAACTTGTGTTTCCATGTGCCAACCACAAGTGTTTAAAGCATTCAGTAGTGTCGATGCACAAAGTTAGGAGTGACAGTGTCTGTTGTCCTGATCCTGTTTTCTTACAGTCTGTGAGATTTTACAGCATCACAGACCTCAAAGGAGACTCGGTGCTCCTGGTTCAGCTTATCCTGGGGTTTTGCTAATATGAAAATACAGATAATTATCATAAGCTTACACAGCCATGGTAGGAAATAACCCCAGTTTGCTAAAACCTTGATACTCTTTTTCTATGAATCTTAGTGCACATCATGCCCTGCCTCCCTGGCTGTAGTCTGCAGCTCAACTTCATGGCTTGAGAAGGGTTTAGTTTTGTTTAAAAATGAAATAAACTGTTCTCTGTAAATAACATTGGTATCCACAACCAGAGAGCAAAAATGCTCAAAAATCTCGAGGGCACAAGCTAATTATAACTGTAGTATTTGTCCTTGTCAGAGATTCTTACTAATGTTTGTTTAACTGTTTGGGAGTCCCCAGCTCAAACCAGTTAGAAATAAATCTAAGGGAGGAGGAGAGCTATCCTACAGCTACCCTGAGGTTTAGCCTTTTGTATGAAACATTTTCTTTCCTTTGGAAGGAACTACAGCAAACTATCAGAGAGCTCCCTGTCTTTTTCTCTCTCTCTCACACACACACAGAAGCACACACATCCTTTTGGAAAAACAGAGCAAGAGGACTCGTACCTAACATTTTCACAGTTTGCTTGTTGTTCTTATCCCTGATGGCAGTGTTTGGACCGATGTTCTTCCTCTTCCTCCTCCAGAGCTTCCTCCCGATGAGGCTGTAGAGCACGGTCAGGCAGAACACGGGCAGGAAGAAGAAGATGCTGGAGGTCCAGACCATGATGGTGAGCAGCCCCGAGCGGATGGCGTACTCTGTGGCTCGGCACTCGTTGGTGCTCAGCGGGTTCGTGCCGTTCTCGTGCTCGACCCCCACCAGGATGAAGATGGGGCCGGCGCTGATGAAGGAGATGGCCCAGAGGAAGAGGATGACCAGCTTGACCTTCCCCTTGGTGATGATGACTTTAGCTCGCAGGGGGAAGCAGATGGCGACGTACCGCTCCACGCTGAGCGCCGTGATGTTGAGGATGGTGGAGTAGGTGCAGCTCTCGCTGATGAACTGGAAGAGCTTGCACAGGAGGTTCCCGAAGTTCCAGGGCCGGTACTGCCAGAGGCGGAAGAGGTCCAGGGGCATGCAGAGGAAGATGAGCAGGTCGGAGAAGGCCATGCTGGACAGGTAGAAGTTGGTGGTGGTCCTCATGTCCCGGAACCGCGACACCACCAGCATGGTCATGAGGTTGCCGATGATCCCGATGACGAAGAGCAGGACGCAGGCGACGGTGATGCCGGTGAGCACGGGCACGGGGAACAGGTGCAGCGGGGGCTCGGCGCCCGTCCGGTTCTCCGCGCCGCGGCCGCCCGCGCTCCCCTCCCGCATCCTGGCGCCGCGGGCTGCGCATCCCCGCCCGGCGCGGCGCGGCCCGGCCCCGCGCGGTGCCCGCTGCGCGCCCGGACAGGTGCGGGGCCGGGGGCGGGCAGGGACGGGCAGGGAACGGGCGGCCCCGCTCCGCCTCTCCGCGCTCCGCCGCTCCCCCCGGCCCGGGGCGGGCGGGCGCTGCCGCGCGTCACAGGAGACGTGGGCACGGAGCGGCCCCGCTGCGACCCCCGCTGCCGCTGCCGTGCCGCCAAACTTTCCTGCCGAGCCCCGGGGGGAGCAGCGCGGCTCAGCCCCGGCCGGGTCCGCCCCCGGTCCCTGCCCCGCCGCCCGCCCGCTTGGGCAGGTGCGGGTGTCGCTGGTCCGTGCTCCCGATGCCCCGGTGCCGTGCCCGGGCGCGGTGCCGCTTGTCCGTGCTCCCGGAGCCGTGCTCAGGTGCACTGCTCCCTATCCGTGCCCCGGAGCCGTGCCCCGGTGCGGTGCCGTCTGTCCGTGCCCGCGGAACTGTGCCCAGGAGCGGTGCCGCCTGTCCGCGCTCCTGGTGCTGCCTATCCGTGCCCCGGGGTGATGCTGCCTGTCCGTGCCCCGGTGCCGTGCCCCGGGGTGATGCTGTCTGTCCGTGCCCCGGGGCGATGCTGCCTGTCCGTGCCCCGGAGCCGTGCCCGAGCCCGGGTCCCTTCCCTCGGGCGCTCTCAGCGCTCTGTCCCCTCGCTCTTGGCCCCGCGGCGCTCGGCACACGCGGCCGGTCCCGCAGCCGTGGGTGCGATCGCTGCCTCCTCTCCGTATCTTTGCTGTGCCCTTGGATCTTGGCAGGAGCCCGGCCAGGCTCCTGCTCGGTGAAGCTGCAGCAGCCGCCCGCTTCTACATGATTTACCCGCAATTAAATTTCAATTCAGCGTGTTACTGCTGTCCTCTGCTCTGCCCTTTGCAGGCACGGACAGAACCGTGCTTTCCCAGCTGCAGATGGCTGTTGTACGGAAGGAGAATGTTGGACCCAAGAAATAAGATGTGAGCAGAACAAGGTGAGATCAGAAACAGTAAAGTAACTTCCCACACATCTGTATAGGGTGTATCTCTCCAGCTTTCCAGCTTGTCCTCACAAATTCTAAGGGTATGTGTGCTGCAGCACAATCATTTTTCACTCCTGTCTGTCTAGAGGGGCTGGATCTCTTGTGTCCCATCTCTCGGGGGCAGCCAGTGCTCTGAATCCATGTTGGCATCTACCTTAACCACAGAATCATGGGATGGTTTGGGTAGGAAGGGATCTCAAAGCTCATCCCATTCCACCAGCCCAGGCTGCTCTGAGCTCCATCAGTCCAGCAGGGAAGCAGGTTTATGCCATTCCCCTTCCATGGCTGCAGGGCTTTGCTGGAGGGTAGAGAGCACAAGTGTGGTGTGACACAATGCTGAGTTACTCTGCCTGTGCCTGTTTTCTGTAATTTGTGCCTTCTGTAATCATGCAAGCATTAGCCTTTGTGCCTTGTCCATATCCTCATTTGGATGATATATTTCTGCAGTTTCACTGGAATCAGTATTCTCATTCCTGCTCATGAACTGTGAGACAGTTTTGCAGCAAGTTACTCAACAGTTACTAAATTTTATGAGGGATGGCTGCACATTATTGCAGTTGAAAAGGAGGAAGAGTCTAATGTACTTCTCACTTTGTCTACCAGCTGCCTGTATAGTTGTGTTATATGTTTCTGAATAAAAATCATGGGCTTCATGCCACTAAAAGACAGTTATTTCATATTAGAACTGTGTCCCCAATCTAATTTACATGACATTGCTTTATATTATGGAGGAGATGGCAACTGCTTATGTGGTTAGGCTGCCAAATACTTTGCATTATTATAAGGAATTATCTCACTCCTTTAAAAAATTTCCTTTCCCTAATACATTCTCAGACCAGTGATGTTAGTCGCAGGATGTTGATATTTACCAGAGAAAATGGCCCAAAGCTATAAATGTGACTTTCTATGTAGAGGAGATACTTCATGAAATTATTTTTGGTTTTGCTCGACTGTGTCTTGTCAAAAATGACAATTTATCTTTCTCCAGGGAGAGAAAAATGTTGGGTTTGGTTTTTTGGTTTTTTTTTTTTTTTGGTTTTTTTTTTTGTTTGTTTGTTTGGTTTTTTTTGGTTTTTTTTTTTTTTTTCCCAAGCAAATAATTAATTCTTTTCTGGAATAATAACTTATTGTGGTGTCTATACCAAAATCAAGTACCAACAGTGAGTGAGCACCAGATCTGTACACTACAGACAACCTGAGCTTGCAATGCAATGATTCAACCCTGAATTTCTTGGGAGTTTGATGCGTTTTGAGCCAATTGGATCAGAACTGGCAGTTGCACTTCAAATGCAGCAACATTGATCTCCTTCTTAAAAGGGTATCATGAATCAAGGGCTCCTCTGGCTGCTTTTCCTGCATGGGGTTGGATCAGGGCCAGAAAAAAATGCCAGCTGAGAGAGAAGAAAGGCAGCTTTAGTTTTCTTTTTAATTTCTTTGGTGATTGCAGGCCAAATTTGGATGGAATTTAAAGATTTGTCATCCACCAACACTGCACGATAATGGATTCCTGCTTGGGCTTTGCATTTGCTAAAGGATAGTGGTGCAGATAGTGGTGATAGAGGAGGTAAGAACTATGAGAGAAGATGGCTTTAGGCTCCCCAAAGTTATCCACCAGCCCTCAGCTGCAAGAACATTAGTTTCATGTTGCCAACAAGACAAGAGTGAAGGCATTGGTCTTACTGAAATGAGAGAAAGGGGCTGAAGTTAAGGACTTTTTATTCTATTTATCCACTAGCTGGATGTATGAGCAAACCAGATATTAAAAAGATAATTTAGAAAACACATTATACTAGACATTTACCTTTCATGGAACTCTTAAATTATTTGTGTTTCTCTTCAGTAGCTTCAAAACTGCATTGAGCACTGGAGATGAAATAGAAGAGTTTCTATTTGTGGAGCTTTGTGATTTCTCTCCGATGTTCCATTCTTTCAATTTTCTTCTTGTCCAGTAAAGTTCTAATTCTTGTTTATATCAGTCTTTGTTGTCATGGAAATATCTGAAGGCTTTGAACCTACAGTCATTATGTGTTTATTGTGGAGAGAAAAAGAAACTGGAAAACAGACTGTAAGGTAGAGATTAATTTTAAAATGATGCACCTCCAAAACTCAGAGAAAAGCAAATTCAGGTTTTTTGTATTATATCCAGGGACAGAAGGTGTTTTGACTGCTGTTATAAATGTGGTTTAGAGCAGGAGGTAGCACCTGGTGTATGCTTTCAAAGGTTATGGTTTAGCAACTCTCATCACCGAGGAGTGCAGCTGGAATAGCACTAATCCAGCTTGATAAAGCCAAACACAGAACGAGCTCAAATTACTTTACAGATGTTTATATAGCAGTAATATCTGCAAGCAGACTTCCAAACACTGCTAGTTTATTAATCAGCAAAGCTGTGCTCTGCAGTCACCAATTCTGAGGTGCAGACCCAGCTCACTGGATCCCACCTGGGCACTGTGTCCCCCTTCCTCACTCCCAGCCCCAGAGAGAACACGACCCCTTGGTGCAGTGATTCCACCTTCCACCGTCCCAGCTGCCCATCCAGCCTGGCCTTGGACATCCCAGGGATCCAGGGGCTCCACAGCTGCTCTGGGCACCCTGGGCCAGGGCCTCCCCACCCTCACAGGGAGCAATTCCCTCCCAATATCCCATCTAATCCTGCCCCTCTGGCAGTGGGAAGCCATTCCCCTTTGCCCTGTCATTCTGTGCCCTGGTGAAAAGTCCATTTCCAGCTCTCTTGGAGCCTCTGGAAGATGCTGTAAGGTCTCCCAGAGCCTTCTCCTCTCCAGGCTGAACAAACACCTTCTACTGTAGTTTGGTAATGGGTAAGAATCACATGTTTTGCTACTAAATAAGAATTCCCATTGCTTAAATAATTGCTAAAGCCCAGAAACATGAGAAGTACCTCAAGGGAAACACTCAGAATTTTGTCCTCTGGTCACAAGATCATTTTCAGAGATTTCTTCAGCTTACTGTTTCCAGGTGCTGCCCACCAGCTGGGATCTGGGAGCCAGTTATGTGGAATTGCACAATATGGCATTGCTCAATGGTTTGCATTTTGTCCTTTGCATTGCAACCATCTCTGGCATTTAGTGGATCATATCTGATACCAATCAATGTCAGGGAAATGATGTAAGACAGGGTTGTCATGGAAGCCATAGGATGACACCAATAATCACTGTGAGACTAAATAACTACTTAGTAAAAATGTTTTATATAAAAAGTCATGTAGAAAAATTTACAATATTCACATATTAATGCAATCTATAAAAATTTGCTACATATGTCATTCAGCATAAAGTGAGATGAAAAGTGTGAGTCAGGACACAGCACAAACAGAACTTGCTATATTTTTCCATTCTTCTTTAAAGGTGTCCTATCTGATATCCCTTGATAATCCTCCCCCAAGATAACATCTGGCAAACACACCTTCAGATCACTCAGAAAATTACTGTTTGGTGTGATTCCTGTTGCAATGTGCTCTGCATGCAGTGTTCAAATCTGATAGCAGGGGTCAGTCCTGTGCTGCAATCACCAAGCCCAGTCCATCTGCAGGGAGAACCTACAAAAGTCATTTCCCCAAGGTAACAGACATCCAGGTATGTAGGGAATGGCTCTGTTCTCCAGCCTTTCTAGCTGGGAGAAAATTTCTGAATTAAATACTGAAATCAGAGAGAAAACTGTAGAAATGTTTTCTGTTCTCTGTCAAAACAGATGATTTGAGAAGGAGGAAAACCAAAGTGTTCCAGTAAATGGTGAAGAATTTCACAAATTTGATTGCCACTGAACACAGCACGTGTGACACTGTTAAACAGCAGGCAGAAGTTAAACCTCATTATTTCCAGCTCACTCTGGTGTGTTTCTTGGCTCTAACCTGCCAAAAGAAGGGTACTCCTGAAATTCTTCTCTTGCTGCTCCAACATGGTATTTAAGTGAGCC